TATTTGAGAGATTATTGATACCAGATTCATCCTCGCCTTTCTTCTCTGTTTCTGTCTGTTTGGACTTTTTTCCCCAGAAAGAAGGCACAAACTTTCTCTGCCCTGATTGTCTACCTAGCTGCCTTCATCTCTTGTGAAGTTTTAGCTGATTATTCAAGGACAGAGTCAGATATTACCTCATGTAGAAAGTTGGAAAGTTGTTATTTCTCTAGAATTTTCTGATTTCCTGTTTAGATGAGCGAATGAGCTCTCAAAATCAACTGAGCACCAATTTAGCTGACCCACATCCTTTACTACTTCTGAAGTTAATGTTACTAATCTTTTTCTCTGGGGTTTCTTCTTTACTGTTTGGGAGCCTGGTGTCAGAATCACTCTGGTAAGGCCATGGCTGGTGAAGATGGGGTAGCAGGCAACACGTGCTATCATTGCAGAGATGTTTGAACATTTTCATTACAATATTTGCATTATAAGGTCCTGAGGTCTTTGCTAAATTGATATAATGTGAGAAGAACAATACTGGAAATCAGGAAATGTGGGTTCATTGGTTTAGATTCAAAGATATCAATTATTCTGCAGCAACCTTTAGGCAAATAACATTCACAGGCCTCAGTTTGCCTCTCTGTAAATTGGTTGACCGCTGACCTCCCTGCATTCTTAGAATGTTATGATGTTTAGATTAGGTCAATTATCTTACAGTGTTCTTGGAATTAAAGTGTTGGCAAGGACTTTTACGAATCCCTGTTACTCATAAGATAAAGGCTACACTCTTTTATGAGGCCATTTTGTATGTGTGTGTGATTCTTTTTGTATACTTACATCACTTACAGCCATTCTCTTCTTCAATTTTCCCTATTATCTCAACTCCAGTACTTCTAGTTTCCTTTACAAGCCTGCCAACTCTCACCTTAGGAAGGATTCTATTTTCTTCACTCCCAGGCTCATCTTCATCCAATTTGTGTTATGGTCTTGATATCTTTGAGAAGTCTTCCTTGACCTCACCTCCAGACTAGGCAGTCACTGTTCCTCTGTGACAATGACAGAACCCAGTGATCTCCTTGTCATAGCATCAATTAGGTGATACTACAATGATCTGTGTCTGTTTGTCTCACTGAGTAGACTCAGCTCTTCATCAGGGTAGAACTACACCTTATTCTTGGGAATGAAACAGAACGGTTGTACAAATAAATATTTCTGAACAACTGAAAGTCAAATGGCTGTGGGAAACATTGGATAATGTGCTTGTGAAGGTCCTTTCAGTCTTTACAGTCGATGAGATTCTCTTTCAAAGTTACTCTAACACTGTAATGACCTATTTTTGACACATCAAAAGGGTTTCTTACTTTGGGTATGCATGTGACCACTGAGTGACTGCTCTGTGTTGTCACAGAGTCTACCTCTTCTGATGGTCTGTTTTCTCATTTGTAATTTGAGACAATGCAATGAGGAGATGTGAAGGAATGTTTACATAGTCTGTGTTAAATCAACTTGTTCTTCATGGAGCCTTGCTGGTTAGCAGTTAGACCAACTCTCCCAAATGACGTTTTCACTTAAGCCATTGAAGGGAGATGAGAAGTTATGGGCTAAAGTGTGTCAAAATTATTGGGATGCTTAAGCCATCCATATCTGCCTGTTATCTCAGAAAGCCATCCCCATAACCATGTCTCTCATTTGCTTGTGCAGTCCCTGTTAGAGCTCATCAAGTGTGTCTCTTCTTTACAGTGGTAAAGAAAGCAACTTGGATTGGGTAGAAGGTAAAGTAGGTTCAGCTACTAGGGTAGTAATTCTTGGCCTGTGTACATAAGAGCCATAGATCAAGAGGCTGAGGCTCTCACTATTTAAGGTTCCAAATAAGCATGCAGGGGCAGGGTAAGTCCTCTTGGATGTCTCATCACCTTGAAATGCTTCCCACATACACATACTTATGGGTGGAATATAAACTGAATCTTAAGGATGGTCCCTTGCTACAGGCTTTAGGCCATAATACCATTACATATTTTGGCTCAGCTTTCCTATATAAAGTAGAAATTTGGAATATGCCTAAAAGCCCTTCTAGCCCTAAGGTTAGCAATTCTAAGCAGGGAATTTATGTTTGTTTGTTTGTTTTACAAGACAGGGTTTCTCAGTGCAACAGCCCAGCTTTCCTTGGAACTTTCTGTGTAGATCAGGCTGGCCTTGAACTCACAGAAATCCACCTGCCTCTGCCTCTTGAGTGCTGGGATTAAGGTGTACACCACCATCTCCCTGACTAAAGTTATCAGTTCTAAATTAAAAATCAACCTTATTTATTTGAGTCGAAGGATATGAGAAAATTGTGGGATAAATGCTAATAGATTACAATTCCAGATTGTTTTAATAATCTAGGGCTATTTGTCCCTGTGCTTTTTCTAATCATGGTCTCAACAATTCTCAGTCATAAAATCCCTCCTCTTTCTTGCTGATTGGACTCCTGGAGCTCCACCTGGGGCCTGGCCGTGGATCTCTGCATCCACTTCCATCAGTCACTGGATGAGAGTTCTAGCATGACAGTCAGGGTGTTTGGCCATCTGATCATCAGAGTAGGTCAGTTTGGGCTTTCTCTCGACCATTGCCAGTAGTCTCTTTTGGAGGTATCTTTGTGGATTTCTGGGGACCTCTCTAGCACTTTGCTTCTTCCTATTCCTGTGGGGTCTTCATTTATCATGGTCTCTTTTTCCTTGTTCTCCCTCTGTGTTCTTGATCCAAACTAGTGGAAACACATGAACTATGAACCAATAGCTGAGGAGCCCCCAACTGGATCAGGCCCTCTGGATAAGTGAGACAGTTGATTAGCTTGGACTGTTTGGGAGGCACCCAGGCAGTGGGACAGGGACCTGTCCTTAGTGCATGAGCTGGATTTTTGGAGCCTGGGGCCTATGCAGGGACACTTTGATAAGTCTGGGATGAGGGGACTGGACCTGCTGAATCTACCAGGCTGAGCTGAATCCCCCAGGGGAGTCTTTGCCCTGGAGGATATGGGAATGGGGGGTGGATTGGGGGGGAGGGGGGTGGGAGGAGGGAGGACAGGGGAATCCGTGGCTGATATGTAAATTAAATTATAAAACTAAAAAAACAAACAAAACAAACAAACAAAAAGACTTTAAAAAATAAAAAATCTAGGGCATGTAATAGACTGTCAACTCACTGAAACCATGGTGCATGACTAGGATTTATTTAGCTTCTACTTATCTCTGCCATTTATATGATAATCTCTATGATAAATACGTGTTTTCACTTTTGTGCCCTTTCCCAAACGTCAAGATTTCAACAGTATCTGTTGTTGTTTTGACACTCTGCCTCCCACCACTTGTTCTCTGAATATTTGTTGAGTATAAACCATGGGTATGCTAGTTCAAAATTGTGTTCTGAAAATAGTGAAAGTCCTTTTCCTTTTCATCTTATGTCATAAATATGAAAAGTAGTTTTGGAGTTTTCAGTTACCATAGTGTTTGGGCTGGAAAAGACTTTCTTTTGCATGTAGTTCCAAATATCTTCTTATAGACATTTACTTTACTGATGAATCAACTCAGATCCAGAAAAAGGTGGTGAGTTTTCCATTTTCATACATTAAATAAGTAGGCTTGGGTCATAGCTGTGTATTAGTTGCATGACCATAAGCAAGTCAATACAGGACTTCTGTCTGCAAGCTCTTTCAAGTCTATTAGGTGTCTTGTCTCTGAACTTGGTGTTGCTACTTCTGGAAAAAACCTGTGGCACATGTTAACCACCTTTCCAGGAACTAAGTGGTGAGTAAAACCAAGTAGTACAGTTGTTGGGTCATTTGTAGATGCAAGGCAGGACAGCCTAAGCATGATGGTCAGTGACCTGTTCTGGATGCAGGCTCTGACTTATGTAACCTACAAACATGCACATTCCTCTTCTTCATTGTAGGCACACAAATACACATGCTAAGAAGTACTGATATTTCTCTCTTTTTGCTCATGCATTGATATGAGGAAAGATTTGAGAAATCCATGTACTTTGAGATGTACAATGATAAAAATGGCTCAATGTGGGAACCCTTTCATGGGGTTCTGGAATTTTAATAGGGAATAGAGCCAAAACAAATAGTCCATCAGCTGTGTGACATATGCTCTCACTGAATCCCCAACCCAAACCAGAGTGGAGACCTGGAACAATTCCTTTTACATGTGAGGATATGAGGCACGGAGAACATTCTTACTGCTGTCTATGATATCTGCAATACCTCAGTTATGGATCGATCATATCTCAATATCAACAATTCAGTTTGGGATTTCATATGTATTAACATTGGGATGCAAAAGCAAGTGCTCTTACTTGAACTGACAAACCAAGAAGTTTGGCTCAGTTTACACTTGAGTGGTTGAGGATAGTATGGTCCCCAAAACAGGGAGGTTGAGAATATGCTCATTCTTTGTCTGAGTTTGGTTCAGACTGAGTAGTGATGCACCATGCTTTTATAGGAAGCAGCACGAGAATGTGAGTAGCTGAGCTTTGGGCAGATTTCCCTTAGCTCACAAACTTGGGGCTTCTCACAAAAGGTTGTGATGGACTTTTGGTGTCCATCTGTGCTTTCTAACACAGATGCTTTGTTATTTTGGTGGTCTCGGGTCAACCTATGCTAAGGTTAAGACAGGGCAAATTTATAACCCCTGGCTAAGAGTTTTTAAAAATATATGAAAATCAAAGTAGCATAAAAGGCCACTGGGCATGATACCAATTCTTGACTCCAATAAAGACAGCCAATAAAAAGAGCTAATGAAAAGAACTCTGATGACATTCATCTGAAATTTTAGATTGTTTTATGTTTTAACAAATTAACAATGGTGATAAGAGGACATTAGCAGCTTTTTTCGGGGCTCTTTGTTAACAATAACTTGAGCCTGCAGCCACAACAGGGGCTGTGGCCAAGTTTTAGCTGGCAGACCAACAAGCCAATATTTTACACAATGGATGACATTTCTAAAACCAGACACAGAGACAAACCAAGAGTCACACACGTATTTCAACAAACAAGTTTCTGCCATTTTTAATTGTATTTAGAGCAACAAAAGATTCCAAGATTACAAAAGAGAACAGAATGCTAGCGCTTGGGGCTGGTCCTGCTGCCCAGTGGAAGCCAAGTGCCGCTGTGAGAACTGAAGCCCCATCGAAAGAAGTTTCAAGCAAAATTAATTTGTTTCTTTTGAAAAAATTTTGAATAATGCTTTCTCTCTTTGCTCTCTCCACGTGAAATTTAATTCTTATCTCTGGTTACATTGTCTATTCCCTCCTACTGCCAAATTAATCTCAAGGACAGTATAAGAATGCCATCTGCAATGCCCTCCCTAATCAATGTACATTATATCTGTCTAGAGGAAAGCTGAATGGTGTGTCAAAAAGTGGTGAGGGAACTCTTTTTTTTAACCTGGGGATCCCAATGGTGGCTACTCTCAGTGGCCAAAGGGACTTATAGGACAACCCCATAGGCACTTCCCTGCAGGACAGTTAGCACCAAGTGCTAAAGTCATGAGATACTGCAAACCTGGTCTGTCTCTCATATAAAGCACAATGACTCAAACTATGAGGCGGCAGACAGAGTGCCTGCAAAGAAATAGTAACATTTCAGAATTGGTTCTTTTGAGGGGGTACTGTATATGTGTGTCATCCAGTTGTTGTTGGCCAATAATATCTACAGCTAAACAACAGTCTTACTGAGTAGCTTACACAGAAACTATTCCAGGCTACCCGTGCTGCCCATTTCACAGCTTCTCGTTTAATTCCATGAAAGGCCAAGAGACAAATGGAACACGGAAAGGAATTAGAACCCTGCTATGCTGAACAAGGACTGAAAAGCACTTAGTGCACATTACCTGCTTCCTGGCCAGAATAAATTGATCATATTAAAGATGGGTCAAAGGCTGTTTTTTTGTTTTTTTGTGTTTTTTTTGTTTTTTGTTTTTTGTTTTTTGCTCTAAAACACCACCTGCTGAATTTAATTATCTACTGTTCTTTTGAGGGATAGGAGAATTCCCAGTGATTTGTTACCTTGGATGAAATTTCAGAAGAAAAGTGACAAGATGTGGGTTTTCTGCCTTCACCTAGAATGCTTGAGGGTTAGGAGGCTCTGGGCAACAGACCCCAGTGTCAAACTATTAACTGAAGAAAAATACCTCTACTCATGAGTAGCAATGGAACTGTACCTACAGAGATATGACTTCTAGTACACTAACAAATTTTAACAGAGAAAAATACATTATCAATTATCAAAATCTTTACAGAACATATCCCAAACCAGAATTAGAGCACACGGACACCCAGTAGCAAGAGCACCTCAATCGCAGGGGAAAGAATTGATGTGACAGAAGGAGCATTTGCTCCAGGTTCCCAAGATCAGGCAACTGCCCTTCTCTAACAAGAATGGTGAGGATCAAAGAAATAACCTTCCTTCTCCCAATGGCCCACATCTCACAAAGAGGATGCTGGCCACTCCTTTGGGTGAGCACTTGGCTCCACATCTGGATTTCTCCCTATTGCAATTCCCAGGAAATTTCAATGAGATTTCACCACCCTTTCCACATTCATCTGTCTTAAGCTAGTAAAGTGCAACACATCATGTACCCTACCTTTTCCTCTTCCACCCCTTTTAAGGCCTGAACACCAGGCCCAATATGGGAAGAGTTATCAATTATCTGATCAATCCAGGTGTCTTATCCATTCTGAGAGAGCATCCAAAATGTAACTGCCACCTCTCTTACAAGTACATGGCATCAGATATGACCTGGAACCAAATATAAAGGTGCAGAGAAAGGTAAAGCTATCAGAACACATTACATCTATATATATAATTCAGTTTTGAAACATGGATACAAATACTCATTTACAATATATTTCAACTTTCTGCCTTACACTGCAGAGAACTTTTTGTGCTGTCCAAACTGGGCAGAAATGAGGGTTTCTGCCTGCCCTCCTTCTAGTGCAAAATCTAATCCTTTAAACGCACCCCTTCTCATCAAGGGTTTCACATCTTCAAATAAGCTAACATGGGCACTAGCAAACACAGTGGCCAAGACCAGCTCCATTTCCAACCATGCAAAGATGGAGCTTCAAGAATTTGCTCTGCAACTACTAGAAAAAAGGAAAGCTAATTCTGCTTATAAAATCAGCTTGTGAAGGACACTATAATCCCATTTTTTTCCAAATTTTCCTCAACACTTCTAAATATGTATATTGTGAGACAACCCTTCCCCACAAAGTCTTCTAAGTAAGTCATCAGAAAAGTCCTTCAGTCTGTCTTTGGATAGTTTACCAAAGAGGAACTAATGCTTGCTCCTTCCCTGCCCTTAACAATTTTGGTATCTTAGCAGATACAATATAATCTTTGGTTACATAATGTAATGCTTTCATCTCCTTTTCTACTTAAAAAATGCTTTCAAAGATTTTCAAAGTGATAAGTGGTAGAAACAAACCTGTCTATAAAGGCAGCCAGGAAAGAAACTTCTTAGTCCAAGAAATTTCACATGCTTAATGGCTTCTTTTGACTTTCAATTTGGGATTTGATCCGGAAGGTTACCATTCGTGGTTCTCAAGTATGAGAACCATGCCTTTCGCCCAATGACTTCTTACCGGAGCAACTAATACAGGAGAATTATAGTCAGCCTCTTTTTGTCCAGAGCTATGCTAGGATCATGCAGGGATAGTCAGTCAGTTGTTTCCAGAAAACTTTCTAAAGTGAGATGCTGCCATAGGTCTTGGGGAGGTATAAGGGATGGCTTGGGCCTTTGTGCCCTGCCAAATTTAAGGGAAAGAAGGGAACAAGACCACACCTGTACTGAATGAAACAGTCAGAAGCCGCTCGAAGCTTAACGTCAGGTAATTTGTGTAGTATCAGGTTATTATGTGGATGGTGGACATAATTTTTTCTTGAAGTGTGTTGAATATATCTTGTTATATATACCTATATGTACTTAGAAATAGAGTATGGACAGAGAAGGATATTAGCATCAGCACATTTCTCAACCTGGACAATTAACCTACCCAAAGGACAGAGTGAAGCTTTTTTTTTCCTCTTTTTTTTCTTTTTTAGTGCCAGTGAACATACATAAAAATATACATATTACTGATTTTCTGTTTTTCAAAGATATATGACAGAATCCTTCAAAAAAATCCCTTTCTCAGAGTAAGCTAATTTAAAAAAATAATGAACTTTCCAAGAACAATAATATTGCCTGTGGCATAGAAAATCTATAGAACAAAGAAGCCAACTCCCATGTCAGCTCAGAGTCCACACACAGTGAGTTGCCCTGTGAATGAGAGTTGTAAGCGATACACGACTCTTTTCTTTAACCACAGAGTTCGTGACTTTGACAGCTGTCTGCTGCCCAGCCCAGATGGGCCTTTTCCATGGTGCTCCTCTTTTTCTCATCCTCACATTCCATTCCCATCGAGCACTGTAAAACTCTTTGGAGATGATCACCTTGACTTGTCCAGTGAGTGATCTTCATCTTCCATCTTACCAGATGAGTGGAGCAATGGCCAGTCATTCACAGGTAAGCACAATGTACCAGCAACACTCACTCTGCTGAATAGAGTGCTTACAAGATGAGACTTCTGCCAGCCACACTAGCTGGAACATTGATGGCCAAAGAAAACAAAAAGAAATGAAACAGAAAATCCCCCCCCAAAAAAGAAGAAAGAAAAGACAAAGCAAAAACCAACCTCTTCTTTGCCTGTGTGGGAGAACACAGCCAAGCTATAACTTTCATTGCTTACTCAAATCCCAATGCAGAAACAGTAGGCATAAGGCCTTGTGTAGGCTGTTTTCTCTAGTTCTGTAACTTTGGAGTTATCTAGTTGGTGTTACTTTAATTGTCCTGCTCTTTCACTGATTTTTGGCTTTTGCAAGTAAAAATAAAAACAAAAACATATACATTCATAAAGACAAGAGTCATGATCTGGAACTCCATAAGATGAAAAACTTCATAGAGAAATGGAACAAAGAGCCTCTAGTATTTACAAAGACAAATATTAGAGTGTTATAATAAAATCCATGTACCACAGAAGATGGAAATTACTTCAAAAGAGATGTAAAGGAACTATTAAAATGTAACACAGTTTAACTGAAAAGAGTGGTGATTTTTTTTCTGTTTAAGACACAGCTAAAAGAGATCCTGTACTTAAGCCAGATGGTGTCATCACAAAGCAAATCAGAATCTACCTATCCTAGCTCAACAAGGGAATCTGTCAGCTTCAGTTTTTGTCCAGCAGCGCTGGATTGTCATATCGCTCATCTTACATTCTCCCTCCCTTGTTATTTAAAGAAGTTGTTTTGCAAATTTGTTTTGCTATTAATATCAACACAGAAATCAGGGAAGGAAACTCATGTGTATCATATCATGTCACTCAGAAACTGTCTTCTCAATCAATTAAAATGGGCAGCTTGGGGGCTGGCCCTTAAATTCTTAAACTCAGCAGTAAAGTGAAGAGCTGAGTGAGGAAGAATTGTACAAATGCAAGAGTAGGTGGGAATTCTTCCTGCACCCAAGCTTCAGGAACAGAGTCCACAGAAAAGAAGGGAATCAATGGACTACATGAAACCAGTGACCCAGGGCATGGATCACTGTTATGTTTATGGGTGCAGTCTATTTGTAGCCACAACAGCGAGATCTGTCCAATGGGAGTCATGGTTCTACAGAATGTCTCAGTGGTCCTGCACCCTCTGACTGAGAGGCAACAACTCTGCTGGGGCGTCTGAGTGACTTTGGCCAAGGTCAGCCCAGCAACTGCAATAGAGGAGGATGAGCAAACTGGTGCCCATCTAGCCAGATGGCATTCATTTATTTGGCTTTAGACTTTGCCTCTGAAGATGCTGGCAGTCTGTATTCTCTTTTTTCCTTCTCTCTTCTTCCCATGATTTCTGCAGGTGAGTATGCTGGGTAGAAAGGAGAACATTTTATGCCTTCTGGTTCTAGTGTCTTCACTCTTCCCAGCTTGGTTACTTAGTTTTTTTTCCTCCATCATGGTCTGGGTAGGCCCTTTAGTCACTCTGAGGAGGAAATTGACATTTCTCCACTTGATAGGTGTATATTGTCTCTGGAGGACAAGGGCAAGGTGCCCGCCCAGTTTTTCTGGTCCCTTTGATGATTTCTTTCCAATTTGTCTAAGGGCTCCAGAAATCTGACTGTTGATGAAAGACATTGAGTGAGATGTCTTTTAGACAGTTGACATCTAAACACAGATGCTGTGGCTGCTGTTCTGCTAGCCTTCATGGTGGTAGTGGGAGGGTGATATTAGCAATGTCTACAAACACATCCACAGACGTGAATAAGCTTTACCACCATAGCTTAAATGCATTTATAGTGAAGTTCAGGCTCACCGAACACTGAAGAACTGTGGAGTGACAACGTGGCTTCAAGGGGTCTATAGGTCCTTTAAAAGTAGAGGAAAAGGTGATTGCTCTAAGTGATCAACTAGTCACTGTCCTTAAAGGGAGAATGGCTAAAAGCCATCACTTCCTTTTCCTCTGACTCCAGCCACAAAGCTCCGCTATGGCTCACATACAGAAATACAGACCTAGATCTGAATGGAGCCTTCCAAAGGGTCAGATCTCTCTGCTTTCTTCTCACTGACCTAACTTCAGTTGAAGTGGCCAAAGTTTTGGCTACAGAGAACATTTAGTTCAAAGCTCTTAGCAAAGCAATGGAAAGTCAGTTGAGGGTGGAAGCAGAGGTTGAGAGAGAAAAGGATTTGAAGGAGGAGGCATTCCCATGCAGACAAGTTTACAGACGAGAAGCACATTTCAACACAATGGATCGTACTGCAACTGAGCACTCTAGCACTCAGGGACAAAGGCTGTGGGGGAAGCAATGGTCATCCATCTGCCCTCCTTGTCCTCTTTTCTCTCTAGCCTACCAGTAAGCTTTGGGGTCATCCTGCTCTTTAATGGCAATAGCCATTAGCAACAATTGAAGTTTCCCACAGAGAGACAGGATGAACAACAACAGTGACTCCTCATGTACCTGTGATTTTAACTTTCTTCCAGTCACTGTTGGCTCCTTTGGGAATCCTATGTGTTTATTTATTTCTTGTGAAGAAACAAAGCTAGCATGTTTTTTTTTTTTGGCTTTTTATTTTCTATGTTTGTTTCTTCCCAAGATACTTATAGCTCTTTAAACTCCACATGGCATAAGGTGAGTAATCATTGGCGTGGTGGGCACACAGCACAGTGCTGTAAACAAGCACGATTGACACTGGGCCACATAGGGGTCATCACAGATTCAAAGAAATACAACACAACTCAAAACGCAAGCAGGAGCCACAACAAGCAGCAGATTCAAAATGTGCCATTGGAGGGTGAAAGAGGGAGAGAAGAAGAAAAGGAAAGAAGGAAAAGCCCAGGAAATAGAACTGAGGAATATGTTCATGACAGACTGTACATCAGTAGAGGAATTTCCCCCAAGGCACTGCAGAGAAGTAGTGCAGAATTATATAACAGGCAGAAGACATCTGAAAAGGGGAACAAGGTGCATTTGGGTATGAAGGTTTCCAAATCTTCACTGTGTGTGGAAATAGATGGGCTTGACTTTCCCAGAAAGGATCTTCGGCACTTGCACAGAGATGATCTCTGCCATCATTTCAGGAAAGTCTACACTCACCATGTGGGACTTGATTAGCAGGTCAAAAGTGAATTGATGCAGCTCTCTTGCGATCTGTAGGGAGAGTAAGAGACAGAACAAATGTGGTTCTTAAAAGCTGGGCTCCTGCCCAGCTCCCCTCCCACCTCAGAATTCCAGTACCTTTAGCATTTTTGTCCCAAGGCCTAGCCTTGATCCTTCCCAGTGAGTGAGTGATTGTGTGTGTGTGTGTCTGTGTATCTACCCATTTGTGTGTTTGAAAAATGATCTCCAGGGAGGCACCGAGGGCTCCTAGATATCATTTATACCATTTCAAGTCCTCTGACTTAGGACTGAGTGTTCCTCTTTTCCACTCCTCCATTACACACACCACACACACACACACACACACACACACACACACACACACACACACACTTTCAATCTCTTTCTCTGTCTCTCTACCTCCCTCCTTCCCACTATCCCTCCTTCCTTCTTCCCCCTTCTACACACCTACACACACACCACACACACACACACACACACACACACACACACACACACACACATACACACACAAACTCACATGCACATTACTCAAGGAAAAGAGGAAAGAAAAATATCTAGGCCTGTTTTGTCTGCCTGGGAAATTCATCTGCCTTAAGCTTCTTCCCTGCAACCCAGCTTCTCTGTACTCAACTCTTCCACCCCTTTCACAACATCCAGCTGGGACACTGTGACCTGTGTTCCTTTCTTTTCCATTGCATTTTCTCTTGGACTATACTCAAAGCCAGAGGCAAATGGAAGCACCTCCCAACAGGTGGTGCCAGACCCTAGAGGAGTCTATTATCACTGGGCTCTATCAGGCTGCTCTCCCTGATAAAGCACCCTCTGTAGTTTGCTTACAGGCTGCACAGAATCCAGGAGCTTGGTGAGCTGGTAGAAGCGCCTTGAGCAGGATGTGGGATTTTTTCTTTTGCATGCAATGATACGATCGAGTTCCTTGATGTAGTTCATTCGAAGTTCATCAAAGAATTTTTGATTTTTCAGCCCATCCACTGGAACTGATGTGGGATGAAGACAGAATGGGGAGGGGAAGCATGCCCACGAAGGAGCATTAGACAAAGCACCAAGTTTTCTGACCACAAACTTGACCCCCCACCCCCACACAGAGGTAACCATCTATTTGGCTTTTTGTCTGTTGAAGTCTGTCTGCCTGGGGCCTTCAGAGTAAAGGATTTTCTGTACTTAACATGGAGGAGTTAGATAAAATAGACTGAACTTTCTTTTGGACTAGTTTTTTCATGTACCCATTTCTCAGGTCCCAAACGTTTTTGTTCTCTATCAAACTGTGATTTAGACATTCAAAAAAAAAAAAAAACCTGGGTTATCAAATATCAAAAGCCTCTATTCTCCCCCATTACACTCTGCTTAGAGAAGACATTAAAGAAAGCTTCCTTGACTGCCAAGCAAATCCTGTCTCAGTTGCTTCAGCCTCCTTTGGTAGCTAGAAAAGGAAATGTCCTCTAGGAGGTGATCCCTCCTGCTGTACTCCTCTGCAAGGAATGCAAGCTAACTCATGCCTGTTGCTACAGTAGAGACTGCTGTAGAGGCTCATTACAACATCTTCAAAGGCCTTATCTCAGTGAGGGAGTGAGGGTAGAGAATCTGGTAGAGGCTGAATTCTACCCATGAAACTGATCTCTACCCACAAAATTGGTCTTTGTAAGGAGAAAGGATGCTGAGGGGACATGGAGGGTGAAGGGAGGGAGAGAGAAGAAGGGAAATGTCCAGGAGCTGTATTCTCCCTAATAACAGTTTAGTGGAAAATGTAGCCCCCCCCCCCTGGAGCCTCTGTGCTCCCAGTGGTGTCCTCTGCAGGCCCAGGTACTTACTAATGCTGAAGAGTAGCAGTGCTTTCATGCACAGGAATTCCTGGGGGGTTATCTGGAGCCATCCAAATTCTTGAGACAGGTGCCTCATCCGCACACACTGGCTGTACATCCGAGACTTGTGCATGCGGTACCTAAGCAAGAGACATAGAGATGAAAAGGAGTAATGAGGGGAGCCTTCCAACCAGCATACAGGAAATGTCTCTTGAAGCCCCTCCCTCCCACGATTTTCCAAGAAAAGCTGGCTGTTTGTCCTGCTAGGACTTCAGTCACTGTTCTCTCTGTCCCCCAAACTTCTGATATCCAGATAAGGACTCATCTTCTCTGGTCAGGATATGGTTTAGCACATGGAATTTCCAGGTCTGCATTTCCTTTCTGTTTCCTGAGTCAGGGACAGGAAAGCATAACCAAATGAACACAATGGGGCAGGGACATGGTCTCCCTGACTACAGTGTTAGGATCTCAGCTACAGCCAGAGCCAGGACCTGCCATCTAGGCAGCCCATTTCAGGATTTCTCAGAGAGACTACCAGGGAATCTGCTCTTAATGTAAGAATGCCAGGGTTTGCAAGTAGCCACAGGTGTTTATCTTGTCAACACCCCTGCCTGCCATTTCCTGTAATAGAAATGGAATCATTTCTTTAAAAACACCTAGCAATAGATATAAATTGCACATTGTCCTTTCACAATGAGTTCCAGTGCTTCTAAATGTGCTAGGGGTGTTTTGCAATGCCTATTCTCAATATCCTCTGCAGAGAGGAGCCCACTCCCTCAAAAACTGGCTGTTCCTTACCACAGTTTGGGAGTTGTAAACATCTGTGAGCTGCTTTCTTATGGTGAGTTGTGAACAGATTATCACATTATCACCTATAAATTATGTGGGGAAATGGCCAAGGCTTGGACAGTTTTAGGGTGGAGACAACCTCTCTGTTCCATGTCTGGCTATGGCAGCTCTCTAGGAAAAGACACAGTATCTCCAACTAGTAGGCCTCTAAGTTGAGAAGTGTGTGTATGTAGCGGGGGGGGGGGGGGTGAGAAAGAAAAAAGAGAGAACAGGGGGAGGAGAGAATTCATTTGTAGTGTGTGAAGGAAGAAAGAGGAATTTGACACCAGCTTAAGTGCCTAAGTGATGAGGACAAAGACCTCTCAGATGGACTATAAAGACCATGTTTTGATATTCTGGTTCCCAAGCCACTAGCCTGAGCAGGCTTATCATTGCCTGGGCAGAAGCTCTGAAGCCTATCTCATAGAGACCTTGGCTGCCCTGGAGAAGGAGAGAAGGTGGCAGGTGGTGAATTACTCAATTCAGGCTGAAATACAGCTGGACAAGGGAAGTGTTTAGATGGTATCACAAGTCAATTGAGCAGAACAGTGCTGCTCTAAGCTCTTTTACCCTAGAGGACATTTGAGTAAGTTCTGCCTTCCCTGGAACCTAGCAGTGCTCCCGTCCTAATTTCCATTGCATTTGCATGCCTCTGTTGTTGTCAACATTGCAGTGTTTGAAATCATGATGCTGGCATAAAGGATTCCTAGAATATTTTTGTAGGCCCCTGAGACAGAAAATAAAGGGAGTGGATAGGAGAGAGGAGAAAAAAGCAATGAAAGGAATTCAAAGAGGAAATAAACAGGAAGCAGGAAGAAAGAGTTGGGAGAGAATTAAAGGAAGGAAAGGGGAAGTGCAGTAGGGGGTAAAAATAAGGGGTAAGGATGGAATCCAAAAGGGGAGCAGAAGTAGGCATTGATGAAAGAGAAGATTAAAGGAAAAGTGAAGATTGGAAAACACTAAACATAGTGACTGGTACATGGTAAGCGCTTAGTTAATGATGTGTAAGGAAGGTGCTGTTATATTATTATTCATCATTCTATGGTGAGAGATGTATGACTCAGAGAGCTGCAGCAATTCTCACATGGCTACCAAGCTAGAATTTAAGCCCATTATCCTTACAGCACGGATTTCCACAAAGAAGGGAAGAATGAAGAAAACTTTACTGACAACAGAGTTTTGGCATTCCATTGAGCAGCATATGGCTTTTTTCAGCTTCAAGTCCCCATCTCTGTCTCTCTGGATCACAATTGACAGCCATTATTGTTCTCAACTGAGGAGTACTGCATTCCCAGTGGACAGTAGAGATGTATGGCGTCAGTTTGGGTCTCAAAATGACTGAAATCTTATTTATTAAGCAGGTACCAGGGATACTAAACATAATGCATTATGCAAAACTGCATAACATCTTGTATGTGAAAACATCCCAAAATATCAACAGTATCTGTATTGAGAAGCACTGGTCTAGATATTTGTAAGGACTCTGATGGCTGTATTGCAATTGGTTTCTAGAAACGTGAAGGAGCCTTGCAGCTTGATAGATCTAAGCCTGATACCTTCAGAAGCTCTGTGGCATCTTCTCATGAGATGAGTGAGACCTAGCTACAAAGCTGAAGTAGGGTGCCATAGGCATTCTTGGAGAGAGAAGGAAATGGCTATTTAGAAATTGATCACAGTGCAGACCCCTAAAGGTCATAGGGCTCTGAGGAAAGTGGAGCTTGAGGAGTTGATTCAGTCAGTAGCAGCAGTAGTTATGGGGCTTTACAATGTCTACCCCAGAAGATGGCATCAAAGGTAACTCTTGGAAGGTCTGGAAACCAAAGTCCTAGTGGCTATTCTTAGCTTCTGACTACCAGGGCTGGCCAGGTTGAAAGAGCAGCTGGGGACACTTACTCTGCCTTTCATGGCACAGCTGTGTTTTAAGGAACCAGAAACCTGTGGATTTTATTTAAAGACCTGAAAGAGGAGGAAGCTTAATTCCTTCCCTGTTTGAAGGGATTCTCTGTAATGAAACTAGCTCAAGGTTCCTGGGTAAGTTATTCTGGTCAGCCCCATTCATAGTACCACTATCAGGAAAGCGGGAAAGGACATGAAAATGGGATCCCTAGACTTTTTCCTTCCCTTCCTTTCCTTTCCCACCCTTTCCATTGATTTTTCCAGTTTCTTTCCTTTCTTTCTCATCCAGTGGGAGAAGATGTTACTTTGCAGCCTCGGCTAGTGGCTCATTTTGAATGTCCTACACAAGTTAATTTAATCTTGAACTCCTGATCCTCCTGTCTCAGTCCTTTGAATGCTAGGATTCTTTGAGCCATCATTCCTGGCCTAAATGATTTTTTTAAGTCTTGTTTTTAAACCATTGGCCAGGAAGACTACACCCATCAATTTCCATTTAAAATGGTTAAGGGGTTTTGTCCAAAGATCAAGACATGGATTATAGCAGAACTAAGACTTTAGGAGAGAATATGATTCCAAAATCTAAGCCCCTTGGTTAAATTCATGAAAGATAAATATAGCCAGTAGGAAGACAGATATGAATTCAATCTATTTAAGAAAAGGGAAATAGCGGGGCCATTTGATTTTGACACATATAACCTCCCACGTCCCAAAAGACATGACTATCTATGAAAACATATCAATTTACCATGGGAATTCAGTGAGACAGGTTTTTGAAAGTCCCGGCATGAAAGTAATTGCTCAACAAATAGTGACTGACAGAGTCCTCAGTGGTAGCAAAGGGACACAAGGCTGGTCATAGAAGTACTTACTCATTGAAAACCAGGTCAGGTGCAAAGTAGAGCATCCTGGAGTTGACGTTAGTGAAGGATCGCCAACCCATGGCAAATACCATGAGTCCCATCCAGGAATACTGAATGACTGCCATCTGGTCATCCACATGCAAGTTGCGGAATCCTGGAGAAGATGGGGCAGAGGCAAAGTCAGATTGCCATTGGTGGGCTGAGTTATGTCTGGGCCTCTGCTTTGCTGAGAATTTGCCCCTACACAGCCACTGAGGAGCCCTAAAGAACATCATTGACAGCTCTTGAGGGAAGGGTTGTGAAGAAGAAAAATCTGCATGGTGGCGACCCATTCTCCTTCACTGAGCTCTTCCAATGAGACCATGATAGCATCAGAAAGAGTACTGATGTTTGGAAGAGAGTCACAGTCTCACACTACTTATGGTGAGTTGACTCTTTTCTGAGCCCTTTACTTCTATTACTCATTTCATCTTTAGATGGAATATTATATATATAATATATATATGACATATATATTATAATATAACACATATATATATATATATATGTATATATATGTACTTTCATTATCCCCTTTCTGTGCATCAGTAAAAATGAGTTACAGAGAAGCTCGGGAATATGTTCAAGGTCTTATGTCTATATCTAGCAGACTGATTTCCCAAGCCCATATTCTTGATCATTGCACCTTTGGCAAGATTCAGTTTAATTGCCAGTTCTCCTACGTGGGCAATTCTTCTCCTTTTACAAAGCTGTCTTCTAGTTGTAATCTGATGTCAGCCATGCCACAACTGGGAGGAGGATGCTCTTACATATCTGCAACTTATGGGAGGTGTTTAACAAGCATTGCTCTCTCTAGCCCCTCTTTAGGTTTTTGTCCTCCATGAATCTCTTTCTGCTCCAAACTTTCTTTCCATTTTTTTCTACTTAGCTCTGACCCTCCTAGTTTTATACCTTCCTCACCCCTAAGCTGCTGCTGTTATACAGAAGCAGGCTCTGTATGACCTGCACTACTAGACTAATTTCCTGTCACTTGCCTTCTGATAATTAAGGCCCATCCCTTCTTTAAAACTTAAAATTTGTTGAATGCCTCATGCTTTTCCAGGCCTCGGCCTAGGCAGATGCTTTTGCTTGGGATGTAACACTTACATATCGTTCAAGTATTTTTCCAAAACTACCTCCTCTGTGAAGCATTTTCCTACTTATCCAAGAGCATGGATCAATGATCATTCCTTTATCCTTTCAAGGAACCTGGAGTAGCTTTAGACAACTAAAGAACTCAGTTCACAATATCATGATTTAGAAATGGACACATCTTTCTCCTCTACAAGACTTCAAGCTTATCTTTCTATTCATCATTAATACATAGTGTATCCTAGGTATTTGACTGGACAGTTGAAAAACATTAATCAAACATACAAGGTATGGCTCCTCAATATTTTTCATCCAATTTTTATAGAAGGGGAGCAATTTGATTTCCTCCAAATGGCTTGCCTTAAGTGCAGGAATGAGCCTCCCAAAAGTTATATCTGTAATATCACATAGGTAGAACATACAGGCCAAGTTTCCTGGAACTTTCCAATTCTTTGCATGGTTAAAAAAATTAGAAGTATTACCCCACAGATCATCCTTACTAGTACCTCCTTTATTTTTCTACTACACATTCAGAATTATCATTATGAATGTTTCTTTGAATTTAGAACAAGCATCTGTGAACATTTGATTCTAATGACCCCAGATGATAGGCAATGTGACACTTATTTTATCAACATAGAACCTGAAAATTAGGGCAGTTATGTGACTTGCCCAAGGTCATGCTGTCAGTATGGCTGAACTGGAACTGGAATCCAGGAATCCTAGTTCTCTGTTCCATTCTATTTTTTTTTCGAGACAGGGTTTCTCTGTGTAGCTTCGCACCTTTCCTGGAACTCACAGAGATCCACCTGCCTCTGATTCCTGAGTGCTGGGATTGAAGGTGTGCGCCACCACTGCCCAGATCCATTCATTCTTTTAATCATCTGCTGATGGTCACAGCTCAGAGATTATGCAGGTCATCTGCTTTTCTTAGCCATGGGCTCAAGTGTGAGGTCTTCACTATCAGAATGCTCTCTTCCCACTCACCCACCTACTCACACCCTTCCATTTTCATTTTGTTTTAGATCTCAAGTCTCCTAGTCATGTGCTATTCTAGAATCCCTCATAACATCACCCTGGGCTGTAATCTTAGCTCCCAGGTCAGTGCTTCTTTCTTCATTATATTAACAAATGTATAGACTGGCTGGAGCCTCACACTACAGAGCAGTTCTCTCCTGGCACCCTTCTATAGCATAGAACCCCTGGGTCTGATCTTTCCCCATAGAAGACAAGAGGCCAGGTTTAATGAGGCTACAGTTAAGGTTCACATGGGGAAAGAGTCTGGGAGTTTGAACACTGAGCATCTGTGGTGCGATGCAGTAGATAGGAAAAAAAGCCCTGGTTGGTAAGCCTTTCTCTTCTGATGGAATATGTGAATTTGAAACTATGTGGAGCGGGGTAAGTATTAAACTGTGCAGGTATCAAAGAAACTATACAGATGTCTGCCCTCCAATTCTCCAACACCAGAGAATTAACAAAAAGATGAAAGGGGAACATTTCAGTTAAGCTGCAATACTAATTAACAGTACATAGAGTTGCTTAGCATTCAGACACTGTACCTTTGAACACACAAACAATGTAGAACACCAGTTTTCCATTATATTGCACTCTGTTTGCAATACCTGACTGTTCTTTTAATGCATAGCTTTTGAAGTAGCCTGTTCAGACTACATGGATAACAAGGGAAGATGGGGGAAACTGCAGTCTCAGGCAATTGTTATTGTGAAATACAAGGAACTATGCTCAGGTTTTGAGACACAACCAACAAGGAGTAGATGATGTTTCCTTCTTTTCTTATTAGACAGTTCAAACCTGAGGTCAGTGTCAAAGAAAGGCTGGTGGCAAGTTAGATTGAGCTTAATGCAAGCTATAGCTTTAACACTCAATCATCATAATTATAAGCTACCATCTAGAGAGCAGCTACTGTGTTTCACCTCCTGTACTAGGTATTCTTTATACACAAACTTTATGCTGATGACAGTTCTCAAAGTGTTTTACCATCTCTAAAAATGAGGAAAAAGCTGCACAAAGACCAGTGATTTACTTAAGGTTATATATCAAGCCATTGCTAGGATTCCAAACCAGATCTATCTGATTCTAAATATGCTATGTATATACAATTGATTCAAGTGTCTCCAATTTTTAATTATAATTATTAGTGTGCCAGGTACCTTATGAGAAATTTTCCAGGTGTTATCATCATTACAGAAAATGTACAACAAAATTCATCTGACTAGGCTCTTGTATAGAACAGAAACTCACACGTTGAATGTGCAAATTACATAAACTAGTAGGTGATTATGGACAATTTGAATAGCCATTCTTATGAATGCAGTAATCAGCTTCCTTTAGGAGCTATTCTTCTAAATGATTCAGTGTCAGAGGTCATTTGTTCTGGAAAGACAGACGCTAAACTGATTTTGGCTCACAGATTTGTTAATGCAATGAGAAGGCTTCCCATGCTGAGGGTTGAGCCGTGGACAGCTAGTATTTCCAGGTAAAAGAAATTCTGCCATGGCCATTGGCACTAGATTATTTCTAAGTTCACTAAATTAGAAATCAAAGTATCTGAGCTCAAGCTCTAGTTCCATTGTTAAGCAACCAATATCATAAGTTAGTGTTTGAGCTGTGGTATGTGGGAGAGAAATAACAAGATCATTTTTGAGACTCATATATATGAAAAGGTTATGAATCCTATAAAATGAGAGATGTTAAATATTTGGAAATTGAGAATCTCCATTAAAAATGGCATCAAGACATCCAGCTGGATAAATGATAATAATGTCTTTTCTCTTGTTTGTATTCTTGCTCCCCGTGTGAACTCTCAGTTTTGGCACAGTGCATATCCAGCCTCAGTCCTTGGGCTTCCTGCCCAGTAATCTTATTGGCTACTTAAACCCTGTTTTCTGATATGAGAAAGCAGTAGGGAAGTTCTAGAAGCTGGGACTGGGGCCTTGTGAGTTAGAAATACAAAATGAGTTCTTGACAATCAAAACGCAAAGTTTTCATAAGCAGAAAGCCCACTACATGATTCAAGTGGCCTTCCAGGAGGTTTGGACCCCTCATTGTAAAGCCAAGAATGACAGAAACAGAGAGCTATTACACACAATAGCTAGAGTTCATAGGTTAGAGGTAGTTTAGAATTGGGAGGGCCTGGGCTCGAGTTGCATTTATTTTACTTTATATATGCACATATGTACTTTTGTCTTTAACTGTAAGATAATCACAACTCTTGTCAGAATTTAATTCCATATAAAATAGAGAAATGGGCACCTACTTCGCAGGGAATTCTTATGATAAACCAATCAGAAAACTGCTTTTTTTTTTTTCACTATAACGAATAGCAGTTTTCATTAAAAGGTAGGTTAATCTTTGACTTCACAGGAAGAGACTTGGTTGTTGAAATTTCAAAAGAATTTTTGAATCAGACAGTCTCAGGATTGGGAGAATCTTTAAAGAGCATACGCTTCATTGCCTGTCAAAATGAATTCCCAACAGCCCCAAGATTGTGTGCCAGTGATTAGCAGCTATGGCTTAGTTGGGGGTAGTACTGAGGGAGATAAGATGGTGAAGTGGTGAGGATTAGGCAGAGATTCTGGTTTAAGTCAATTGAGTGGGTCACTTGTATCTGTGCACAATGCTTTTTAAGAAATAAACAGTTTGTTTACTAAAGGAATGTTTGTGAATCCATAGATAGAAGCTATCTAAAACTTCCCTAATCTGTTATAGCTAAATTATAAGACGTATTTAAATAACAATGATCTACTAAGTGAGTTCCCATTCTTTACTGGAGGTATCTTAGAGAAGTAAAATAATCATGTAGTAATTCTTTCAGCATGACCTAACCTTTCTTCCCACTGTAATTTCTAAAGTACTGAAAAAAAACTACTAAGTGTTCCTTGAAGTGAAGTTTAAAAGTCATCAGGTTAGTCCAAAATGCTCTTGATATGTACAAATAGAGAAACAGACCCAGAAGAGCAAAGGCTCACAAATTGGTTTTGAGCAGAGCTAAGACAAGAACCCAAATATATTCTGGCTTCCAACTTTTTTTCTACCATACCATATAGAAATGCCTGTGGGCTAGTTCAGACTTAATACTACCTCTGGCATGAACTTACATGTTACATATAGAAGAAGATCTTGAGGTTTATGTATGAAGCTATAGCTCTAGGATATGTGATTTGGGGTTAAATGACAAAGTGTAATCACTGTGCATTAGTGGAGTCATAGAGGATCCTGGCATGCTGTCTTTCTTCTTGCTTTCTGACTTTCAATTTCCTCAATGACTAAAGTGAGAATTTTCTGTGACAATCATTTATCTACAGTGTGGCATTGAATACCACTTGAGTTAACAAGTACCGGCCCAAAGAACCATTCAATAAATATGATATCCCTTATCCCACATCCTTATTTTCCTTTTCCTTACCGGGCAAGGCCTTGGCCCACTTGACCACATGAACAAGCTGTCTCTCACCAAGCTCGTTGAGGCTAGATAACAGGGCAGCAAAGGAGTCAGGCTGGTTGTTGTCATGTCCAGCACACACCACTCCTGGCTCAATGGCTTCCAGGACATTCAGAAAGATAGGCTGACATTCATAGCCTTCAATGTGAGATACTGTCATCTTCTGGGATGGGTCCTCAGTGGGACTGCCAGCACTGGAATTTTCTCCTTCCTCCTGTAGTTTTAGATTTCCAAGTTTTTTCAGCTTACGAGCTATCAAGAAGTAAAAGAAATATGAATTTATTAATTTATTATCAGTGGCCCAAAATACACACTACAGTTACCCTATTGGGAAAAGTGATTGAGCCAAAAAAAAAATAGATCTTTCTCTCTTGTCATAGAGTCTAAGTTTCTTAAGGACAAGTATTTATTCAACACTGGTTGGATGAGTGAGTTAGCATCCATCACTGTTAAACCCCAAAGTATCATACATTGCTTTCTCCTTTGATCCTTGTTCCAGACCACTCTAGTATATCCTTATGCCAGAGTGCAGACTTCAGTATTTATTCCTGGGACATTCAATTGATTCATTTACAAAAACATTCATGGCTGATTTGTTTATTCTTCTATTCTCCATACTTCCATTGGCGAATATTTGTTTTCAGGTAACATTAAGAACATAGTCCCTGTTCCACTCTTGTAGAAGAGAAATAAATACCCACAAACAATTCTAGAAAGTGCCAATATAGTACAAACTACAATGGATGCATCATGAAGAGGGAAAAAACAATCTTCCTGCATGGTAAGGTTAGGGAATACTTTACCTCAAAGGTGGCATTTCATCTAGGGCTTAAATACTGGTAAGAATTTCACCAGGTAGAAATGGGTAGAAAGGGCGTAAAGAAATGGGAGAAAGTAGAAATCAGTGTGCCTGTAGTTTATATTGTATATCTGGAAAGACTGGCCATCTATAGTGTTATAAACAAACTGTAGCCTGGTTTTAATGGATGATGTGTATTGTATTAAGTACAGGCTTTGTCTTACAGGTAATAAGCAAATAATGAATACTGTAAACAAAACAACAATATAAATGTGTCTATATTTGATATTAAGAAGTTCTAACTTATAGGTTATAGGCAAATTGTGAATATTGTAAACAAAAAGCTATGCAAATGCATTTATGTTAGAGAAAGTGATCAAAAGTACTTGTTAAATGATGTTCTGGACTTATTCTGTGGGTTCTAAATGGCTAACAAAAAGTATACCAGTTTGGGAATCAGGTCCTTTTTCTCTATCCATGCATTCTTTTTAGCACTGGGAATTGAACATAGTCCATGCTTAATAAATACTCATCACTTAGCCACTATCCTAAGTCCTCTTTTTTACTTTGAGACTTGCATTTAACCAAGCTGATCAGGCTTGCTTTGAATTTTCTCTGTAAGCTGGGCAGGCATTGGATTTGTGATTCTTTTCTTTTGGCTTCCCAGTAGCTGGAAGTATAGGTCATTGCAACTAGGTTTAGCTCACACACGTATCTTGGTACTTAAGGTTCTCTGAGGACAGAAAGGTTGCCACACACTCATGTTGTTACGGAGATTCAGAGACTAGATTTACAGCAGTTGAGAATTTACATATCAGATGGGAATGAAGTTTAGAAAACAGTCTGAAAATCCTTTATATCTTCAGACTACCAAATCATTCCACCTTGGGAATAGTGAGCAGGAATTTTCTGGTGTGCTGCTTCCCACCACACACTATAAAGTGCCTGAGATGTGGTCTGAATGATATTCATAGTTGATCATGTACCATAACACATATTGATTTTCTTCTTTAGCAGAGGGGAAGAAATGGAAGGTAAAGGATCAGAGCCTGTAATAGTATTAAATAAATAACATAATGTCCATGACTCTACTATCCATCTACAAAAAAATGGAAATCATACTAGCAGACAGCTGTTAGAATGTTAGATATAACATTCTTTAAAACAACCACAGTAATCCCAAACTCAGTCATTAAGAACCATTTTTCTGACATACTAACACACATATGCACATATGCGTGAACATTTGGGCATGTGCATGCCCCCCTCCCCTACATACACATACACACACTTACTTTAAAGGTCCTCTGGCATTCCAATGGTTACTTTGTTCTATTTTCCCTAGCACTTATATTGATAAGTATAAATAATTGAAAAGGTCATAACTCTGAGATCTATCACAAGCAGATGCACTGGGAGTAGACCATAAACTGTATTTTTCTCTAATCCTTTAAAAAAAAAATAAGTAAAAAACAGAGAAGTTGATCCTTCAATTTAAGTGCATAAATTTGATAAAACCTACTATATATCTACTTCTGGCTCCATAGGAAAAAAAAAGACATATCTGGAACAGACTTTAAACCCTAATTAGAAAAGTAAGGCCTTTACTGCAAATTTTATCATACTCTTGCTCAGTAAATCAAAGTACTAATAGATTGCATGTTTGTATCAACACGTAGGACAGGGAGAAGAAAATGATGTGTCTAACGGCATTGAGAAGAAAAGGGGGAAAATAATAAGTAAGCCTGAGATCCCAACCTTGGCTGCAAGATGACCTTGTCCAACAATAATTTTTACAGGATTTGGGCACAGTCAGTAATAAGGAGATAAGCACTTCCATTGCCGACTTTAACCTCCCACTTAAAGGCATAAGGCTGGGAGTTTGATATGAACCTAGCCAATTTACTCCCAGAGCAAGAGGTCTGGTCTTCACAATGTTTTGCCATATGGGGAATCCATTTCTTACACTGGTCTTTTTCATGTACATGGCACTACAAACTGATGGTGCCTCCAGAATGTCCCTGGTGCAGTTCCCATACAGACCCCACCCTTATTGCTGGTATTTTCTAGTCTTGAGCTTAGGGAAAAATAACCTCATTGATTTGAACCTGATTTACCTAGAAAACCCACATTCTTGTATTTTATCATGTGGCTTTTCCAAGGAGTCTGAATCCCTAAGGTCTTATCTTCTTTGACTATAATCTTTACTCCTTTAGTAGCTAGCATCACATGTAGAAATGGAGAAACAGGAAGTTCTGAAAATAGTTCCCTGCCTTAAATGGAAACATATCTGGGGTACTGTAGTGGTACAAAGAGTCACAGCTTGGCAAATAGGAAAAGTCCTTAGAAATCATCTTATCCAGTGTTCACATGTTCAAATATATTCAGAATGTACCCAAGAAATATAGTGTATTGATATGTGTGTAGAAGAATGGTTGGCATCCTGCCTGGCGAACCAGGATAAAATGTCTTACTGCCTTTCTTTCCCTAGAAGACATCCTTGTAACATGTAAAATCTCTCACGAAGTGCATGTATTCTAAGCTGAATTCAACCCTTAGTTATCACTTTGAGAATTTTTGTATTAGTCCAAAGTTTCAAGTCAAAGATGGGGAAGCAGTCTAGTGGCAGAGCTAGGATTGGAACCAGGGATCTTATTCTTCATTTAAAATCCCTTATGACTCATTGCTTCTCTTTCACTAGCTTATTCCTGCTCTATTTCAGTATGTGTCTCTCTGAGATCCTTTCTAGGCTTATACTATTTCATATAGTAGCCACTAGTCCTGTGTGGCTATTAAAATAATTAAGATAAAGGAAATAAAAATGTAATGCTTGAGTCTCACTGGACATATTGCCAGTGTTTAAAAACCACATGTAGCCCGTTACTGCTAAACAGAACAGCACAGATATAGAACGTTTCCATTATCTCAGAAAGTTCTGTTGAATAGTTCTATGAATATGGCCTGCTCTCTGGGGCAGCTGTTCTATTTGTCATACTATGCTAAAGCTATTGATGAGGAAAGAATCCAAAATGAATGATATATAGATGGATCCACTGGATTGTATTCAAAAGGTGCAGGGACAAAGAGAGTAGTTGGTGTTGTTACCATCAGTGAGATTTAATGTTACCATTATTCTGTACAGTGACTCAAATCACTGAGGTGATGACTTGTGGGCCTAAACAGATTCATTTCAAGCAAGATCAATATGCATAGGGACTGTGGGGAAGATCCATCAAGACAAAATTATTACCATTTCTTTGAATTGTACCAATCAGAACTTGGCTGGCATTTTCCTATCTTCTTCCAGAGCTATAAGGCATCTGCTTTGAAGAAGAAAGTCTACATTCCCATTTGCCTCCAGGACCCTGGTAATGTGCTGTCTGTGTGATCATAGCGGCTCAAGCCGCACCAGGTGTTCTGAGCTAGCTGCCTGAAGAGGGTGGCTGCACTAAACATAATTGAAATCGGATTCCATTCATTCTGTGGGGATCCGCTGTTCTCTCTCTGCAGCAGAGGCCAGCATGTTGCTAGACGACTTGGAATCCTAGACAATGAAGCTTGCTAGTCTCAGCTGTTACTCAGTGCCCAAGGCCTTGTTTTCTTCCAAGAAGGCCACCCCCATGCTCCTCCCTTTCCCTGCACCTGAGCCCCAGAGTCAAAGATAACTCTCTATATGAGATACACACAAACTAACCACTATGTCAAAGCAGAGGCTTACTTAAACTGAGGGGCAAACCAGAGAGAGGTGGCAGCCAAAGTGGGTAGTTCTAATGGTATATGACCTGTTTTACATCTCATCACTGCTTTTAGACTTAGGTTACAGTAGTAGCAAAAAAGGATCCTCACAAGGTATGACTTTGTTCTCATCTATTGTTCTGGAGCCTGGCAAGCTTGGATTCTGGTATATCAGCCCTGGGACAGTGGATTTCTATGGAAACTACCTCCACAGCATCAAAGAGAGCCTTTTCAAATCATGTTTCATGATGTGTTCCTAAGGAGGCCTACATGTGCTTAATCTGTAACTTCTCTAACCTCAATGACCTTTAGGGATGTTTCCAGATCAAGTCTTTGTTTTCTGGGTTATATACCTTCTCACTCTTTTTTTTTTTTAATTTATTTATTATGTATATAGTGTTCTATCTGCATGTGTCCCTGCAGGCCAGAAGAGGGCACCAGATCTCATTACAGATGGTTGTGAGCCACCATGTGGTTGCTGGGAATTGAACTCAGGACCTCTGGAAGTGCAGTCGGTGCTCTTAACCACTGAGCCATCTCTCCAGCCCACCTTCTCACTCTTAGGTAGTGGAGAGGTGTAGGTGATGTTTCCAATCTTTGAAACTTTGAATTACTGTGCCCAAGGTCAAGGATGCCTCTCTTCCTGATATTTCATCATAGAATTTGGAATATCAAAGAATCATCCTCTCTGGAAGACTAATTTCTAGGGTGGCCTCCA